TAATAATGCATTTTATTTATAGAGTGGCTTTCAGAACACCCAAGGACGCTGTACAATAGAAAAATGTTGACTTCCTTTCCTTGCCTTTAACAACAAACTGTGGCGTCACATAAAGCAGACACAAGCATGTGGCTTTCACACTCATATGGCTGACATAAKTTTTTATTCCAGGTACATCAGTTGCAAACAAAACATGCATTTTTGCAGTTCCCTCAGACATCWTTGTAGCATTAACTCTTTGAAAGCRTCAGAATGAGCTCATGTGCGAACAGAGCAGYTAATTCTCAGAAGACTTCACGGTGAGCGATTGTGTGAGCTCAGGAGGATAGCTGCCTCAGACTCCTCTGCCCGCCTGTCTCTTAGTTTCCTCTTGTTTGTCCATGCTGTGGTTACATGCCGTTTAGACATCACCACAAAAACTGTCATGATCAGGAGCAACTCAGGCCTCTTCTTCTGTCCTTTTCATGCTGCAAACAAAACACCGACTTTATAAACATGCTCATTGCATCATATTTTGTGTCGTGTACATTCTGCCCGTACACCACTTGAGAGGATTTCAAATTGTTAAAACACACCTCATGTGAAATAATCCCCATTAGTGTGAACAGACATTTGCAGGCACAGACCGCATTTACTTCACTTGGTATTCTTTGATGTTCATTAGCGGAAGCAGTTTGAGCTCAGAGATTTTTGATGTGGCCTCATTAACCTATATAATGTTTTTTTCTGCAAGCAAACAACTCATAAATATATCTTCTAAWGTAGAGTGAACATATTCCCAACAAAGAAAACATGAAAGATTACTTATTTTTTAACACAAATCCTGATGTAGATTCATCAGGAGAAGCTTTTTTGTGTTTCCAATGAACCATTACAGAATTTTCATTGTTGCTTTAAAAACATATTTATTATCAGTTTTTTTAATCACATTCTTAGGGTTTTCCTAAAGGTAAATCGTCAGCAAAAATAAATTACGACTATAAACAGAATAATTTTAAAGACATTNGCGGCTTTCTACATTAACGCTTATTGATCCCTGTTAATTAAAGACGGCTGGCTGATTTAAATGGACAGATAGAGGCGCAGGCAAAAAGTGGTCAAAGTTAAARTGGTCCCTGGGCAACACGGGAACACGCCTACATGTGCGCGTATACCTATACTTAGCCACGCTTGTGAGTCACCCGCGCGCGCGTGCGCGGCAGATCTGCCCCCCCCCTAGAGATGATTTCAGCGCGCTCGCTATTCAAGTCATGGACGGCGGGGAGCTGGGGGACCATTAGGAGCCAAAAAAGCTAAAGAAGAAGAGGAGGAAAAGCGCTTCCTTTGCAACACACGGATGCTGCTGCTTCACCGCGCGGATCGGACTCACGCATTCTCTGACACGCGGAGTTATTACTAATCGCTTTGGCGGAGAGGGGGGAGAGGAGGTGGAAAAAAATCACCCTGAATCTCGCCGTTCTACTTGACAGAAACCGCTGTGTGCCATATGCTCTGCAATTTCCACAGACGCCTATGGCAAACCAGTGGTGCTGATGCGGCGCGTGTGATGGTTGCAGTGGGACGGATATCCTTAATTTCATCCAATCCGCGCTCTAAAGGGCTTTCTCTCTTTTTTTTTTTTTTTTTTTTTGCTTGTTGTTGGACGCTTCTACACCTCTTTCCGCGCTGTGACCTTATTCAGTGCTTTAAATAGGTAAATGTTGATTTTAAGGATTCCACGATCTCCATTTAATTTGGAAGAAGGAGGTTTCTTTTTCATCTTTCTTTTTTAGTTTTAGTTTTGTTTCTTCGTTTTCCCCCCCTGTTGGTTTATATTTCTTTTCTTTTTTTATTTTTTTTTCCTCTGGGAGACAGTTTTGGACTCGATCGGCCTATGCTGACTTGCCCGACTAAGAATAAAAATAAAATAAAGCAAATAAAAAAAACTGCAGGATTTACTCCTCAGTCCAGAGGAACACACGGTATAAGTCCGGGAGGCTATGAGGCTGCTTTTCCGAGGGGTTTCCATCCGCGCGCGTGGAAGGTGAATGGTGGCCGCACCGCAGATCCACGCAACTCTCCCTGAGTGGGTTTTTCGCAGGCGAGCATCTTGACTTGTGATCGAGAGAGAGAGACGCGGACTGCAGCAGCCTCCAGCCTCCCCCCCACCTCCTCCGCCCCCCTCCTTCCACACACCACCCCTCTTTCACATGGAGATTTGTGTCTCGGTCGCGCTGCAAATCCTGAAAACGTGGACGGGGGCCCTGCTGATTCTCCCTGTTCTGTTCTCGCCCTCGAGTCCCTTTATTCGAGAAAATGCGTAAGTGTTTCATTCATTTTGGGCTCCTGTGTAGAGTAGATCCATCTTCCATCGCCATTTGTTCCATCAGTGATTTGCTGTTGCCTCACAGACTTCAACATATATAGAAAGAGATACTTCCCCCCCCCCCTTCTTCCTTCCTGTGCCCTTATTTCATTTCTCTGTAAAGCATATAAGATCTGTCGCATTTTTCTCGAGGGTGAATGTGTGTGTGGTTTGTGTGTGTGTGTGTGTGTGTGTGTGTGTGTGTGTGTGTGTGTGTGTGCATGCTTGTGGGGAGTGCATATGTTTCTGTTTCTGATCTCTTCACCAAAAAGCTTGGTATCACTCTGTGTGTTCTATCATTGTCTATGTTTACTCAATGTTTTTTACCTAATCTGCTCATTAGTGTGGGATTTTCTGTTCCATAACTAACATGATAATAAAACAATTAATCAGACAAATCAAAAAGTCTAAAAAGGCAGTGTTAAGTCAAATGTTTTTTTAGAACCTCAATTCCAATGAAGTTGGGACATTGTGTACACAAATGAAAAACAGAATATTGCAATTTGGAAATTTTTTTCAACCTATATTGATTGAATAAACTACAAAGACACGTTTTTTAATGTTCAAACATGTACACTTTATGGGATATTTGCAAATATTCACTCATTTTGAATTTGAGTCCTGCAACACATTCAAAAATGGCTGAGAGAGGCAAGAAAACACTGGGAATGTTCAAAAAACACGTGTTTGGAGCATTTCACCACCGAACAGTTTAATTGGAAACAGGTGAGTGTCATGATTGTCTATAAAGGGAGCATCCCTGAAAGGCTCAGTTGTTCACAAGCAAGGACTGGGCGAAGTTCACCACTGTGTGGACAAATAATTTTTGCAAGACAATTTTGACACWTTCTGCATATGTTACATCAGCATGGCTTCATAGTGAAAGAGTGTGGGCACTGGACTGACCTGCCTGCAGTCCAGACCTGTCTGTCATTGAAAAGATGTGGCACATTATGAAATGCAAAATACAACAACAGAGACCCCAAACCAGGGCTTTTCATCTGGCTGCCCACAGCCCAGATGACTTCCATCCAGCCCAACAATAATGTACTTAAAATACTACTCAACTAGTGTCACATCAAATATTAAATGGATTTATATAAAACTCTTTTTTGTGTTGGCTATTGTGGACAAGCTTTGGTGGTCATCTTGAATAGTTACTCTGTAATTTCCCCTTGGGATCAATAAAGTATTATCAGTTGTTGATGTACATAAAATTCTAAATTTCTGATTTGTTTCTCTGCCCAGTCGTTGATACATTTTAGTAAAAGATAAATAAGGTTGACAGTATCAGTTAATGATAAGGTTTTAAGCAAAGGTCTTGCATGATTGGTAGCACTTGGATAGCTGTGGTGACAATTCTCTACTGAGTTGAATGTTGATAAAGTTAATTACATTTAAAAGTACAATCAATGATTATTTTCTTAAAGATGCATTCAATTATATCAAGCAGTTAATGACACATTTTGTGAAGAGCTGACTCCAAATTGTTAATGAATGGCAAGTGGTTGTGGCGTCCATCTTGACTCAGGCTAACTCTAAAACTGAATTAGTTGTAAAGTTTTCTCTGCAGGGTCGCGGGGGAGCTGTTGCTTCTTTCCGGTGGTTTTTGTGCAAGAGGTGTGGTCCACCCTGAACAGATCACCAGTCCATCACATGGCCACAAAAAGACAAACTCTCTTTCTCGCTCACACCTGGTGGCAATTTAAAGTTAATCTAATGTGTATGCTTTTGGACCATGGGAGGAAACTGGGGAGCTAAAAGAAAGAGTCTATGCATGCACAGAAAGAACATACAGACAAATAACATGGGCCCAGCTAAAGCCCATGGGTGCAACTGGCAATGGCTGTATAGCAACAAGGAAGTCATGACCCAGTTATATCCAGTCACATTCACACAGCTTTGTAGACAAATTATTTTCCCTTTTCATGCACAAAAGTAATAAAGTTTGAGACAATGTAGCAATCAAAATTCCTGTTTGAAATTCAACAAATGGGCAAAAGTTTAGTTATTTTACTTCTTTAATTTATCAAATAATGAGAGGCCTTTGTTTGGATTGCACAAATAAACAAAACAAAACAAAACACAAATAGGTTGCTACAGTAAACTCACATCTCTATCCATTTTTTGCCTCATTATAATGTGGGGGGTATTTATCCATCTTCTGTGCAAAGTCCATACATGGTCTACGAAAGGATTCTTTATGAAGTTCATTAAAGAGGAAAACAAGCCTCATTTAAGCAAATATCTGCTTTGAATTTTGCATAAAAACAGAAATAACAAGCATCTTCAAAAACATTTTATGTTCCAATTTTTCATGCATTCACTGAAAAAAGAAATATGGGCTAGAATTTGCTGGCATTGACAGTGTTGTTGTTGTATAATTTTAAACAGGTTTGAATGAAATACCTTATACAGTTACATTGCTTTTAAATGAAAAACACAATGATCGTGTACATATTTGAAGAAAGCACATGGTTAGCATTGATTTGATGGTGCAAATCTACTGAGAATTTCATTTATAGACACACAGACAGTGCAGCCCTCCCCCTCTTTCCCCCTGCTTTTATTTTACATTTTTTTCTGCTTGGGAGATCCAGGAATGAAAATTCATTTTTCATCAAAGCATAAYGAAAATGCTGAGAGCTAAATATCCAATGAATCAAATTTATATCTAGTGTTTGCAGAGGAAAGTTCTTGGTTATGGAATGTTGTCATATAACGCAGCGCATGACGGGTGATTATGAAGTTAACAGTAATTATTTATGAAGAGAATGCTTTTGCAAAATCAACAAGGTCTGGATTTGTGTAGCTGTATCTAAGGCAATATAAAAACCTCAGATGTGATTTTGACCCACTTAGTCTTTTAAATATCTTAAATAACTGCCTTGTGTTTTGACAAGTTGTGCATAAAGAGAGAAGGTGCTAACTTTGACAAAAGAAGGAAAAACACCTAATGTGTTTCATGAGAGTTGTTTAAAGGTTTGGTCTGACAAAACCAGCCTTGCTGAAAAAAGAGACATACAGTAAGATTTTTCTCATGTCATAAATTGTCTACCGCTCAGTGAATAGTTCACCCTTGCATGAATCACCACCTTACCATGAGGCTATTGCTCTAAGACTGCAAGGGAAGCTCAGCTTCCCCTAAAATGTAAAAAAAAAANAGTGTAGTGTTCTGCATGGCTGAGAATTTGTGGTGAGCATGAGCTTTGTGCCTGTGGCAAAAACAACCATGCTTGTTGTCATGGCCTTTGAGTTTGTGACTTTATCGCCTTGTTAACTTGTTTAGTAATTGGAGGTGAAAAAAAAGAAAGAAAAACCTAGCAGAACATGGGGAATGTGATCACCCTGAAAAACATTGTAGGTTTTGCCATTTACCTGCCTGCCAAGGGACTGAATGGAGGCAAACCATGTTAGAGTTTCTCTCTACAACAGCCCTGACAGAAGCCTTCACTGTGGGAAATGAGCACTTGGGTGAATGGATTTCTTTTCATGCGTGACACACATGTAGTCAACCACTGGTACAAAACAGGGGGACCGGTGACTCATCTTACTATTTGTGGCTTCTTTTTTTTCCTGACTAAAATGCAGCTTTTGTTCTTGCACAGTCTACAGCATACACATGATAACTGAGGCTCTTACAATTACATTTCTCTTTAAATTCCATGTCAAATGCTGCCCTCTTCCTCCTATGTCAGACATTATAGTGATCTGATTAATCTCTAACTTGTTCATAAAAAACTGCAAGAATTAGGTCTATGTTCTTTTTAGGTTTTATAGATTGTTCATGCTATCCTCACTATTTCACCATCAGACCAAAAGTTAATTACAAAATGTTTTTCATGCCTAAAAGTATGTATTGAGGATTACCATCAGCTACTACCATACCAAACTTACCACACTTTAGCTCAATATCTATACATTTAAAGTTAAAGCCCTTTAAGTTTAGTTAAGTTAAATTTAGTGTTCACTAATTATTTGTAACAAACTTTTTTACAAACTGTGTTGACTCCAAAAGTTGATCACGTCAATGTTCATTCACTGATTATTTAAAAAAAAAAGATAATTTGCTAGTATTCAGACAGGATTAATACTAACAATTAATAATAATATTTTAATCAATGATGTAATACAGTCTATTAGTGCACATATTATCTGTTGGAAAGTACTCTCAGCTACTACCACGTCACATTTTAGCTATAGCTGACTGAGTTATAGCCAGTAGATTGCTGTTGTTGATTTGCAACCACCTTACATTGGGGGTGACTCCAAACGTTTGACAGCTGCAGATTAACACAAAATATAAATGCCAGTAGTTCATGGGATATTATAATAGTCAAATCATTCTGATGCCAAACAAACAATGTAAAATTAAGTTTTAAGCAAAGATGTTGGGACATTGCAGTTAGAGTAGGTATTGTTTGTTTGGCTCACCTACCACAACAAATTTTAGCTCAATATCCGTAAAATCAATTGACTGATGGCTATTTCTGTCTTCTGAGGTTAGTTAGCCATGACAGCCATCTTGAATTGGGTTGACTGAATAAATCATTAACTATTTCTAAAAGTTTCAATTCAATTTATTCAGTGATTCATTAGATATTTTGCTGATATAATCTATTATATTCCTTAAAAGCAAAGTTTTAAAACCAAATTCAGTCAGTTTTTTTCTTTAAGTGTAAGTTGTGGAAGAATCTTTAATTATTCTTTTCTGACAGTCTAAAAACAGTGTAGTGGTTCATGTTATATATTTTTTTAACAGGACAGACACAAACATGAACACATACAACACAAACTTTGTCAGTGATTTTTTTTTTTTTTTTTTTGAGGGACACATATCACAGAAGTTCCAGCAAATTTTGATCTGTCAGTTTGGTTGGAGAACTGTTTTATTTAATTAATTTTTTACATTCATTCACATGAGTTTAAGTAATGAGCAGCTTGGTCTGCCCAGG